CTTGCTTGCAAAAAGGTAGATGGCATCGGGGCCACAGTCGACGTTTAACCCAAGAAACTGGGCGATGTTTGGAGAAATAGTCACTTCACGAATCATTTGATTCTTTTCTCCATGCGCGCTAGAAGACTGTTGCACGAGCTGGTGTACAGTAAGTCGTCCACGTAGGCGATTAGGAGAATGTATTTCCCCCGAAATTCGAGTCTATACATTCAAGGATTATGGGGCAGCTGCACAAAGTCGAGTGAAATCAGCACTTTGTGAAGATGCTGCCGCCACAGGCAAGGAGCCTGGTTGATGCCGTAGAGTGATTTAAGTAACTTGCAGATGCGGAGTACGTCACCGTAAGTGTGGGGGAGTTCGACGAATATATCTGCATCAACGTCTGCAATAAAAACACATTTTTAACGTCCAGTTGGCAAAGTGGAAGGTGGCAGCTGGCAGCAATGGCGAGAAGAATTCGAACTGAGGTATGACGGATGACCAAAGCGAAAGTCTGGTCGTAATCGATGCCGTGGGTTTGTTCGAAACCTCAAATAACCCATCTCCCCTTGAATCTGTCTGGTTTGCCTGCTGCGTTTGTCTTTATGCAAAAGACCCACTTGCCCGGAAGTATTTTCTTGCCGTGTGCTGCTTCGCGTGGTACGAGTTTCCACGTTTTCCGCTTCTCGAGAGCTGCTACCTCTGCATCCATAGCTGCTTGCCACTTATCAGCATCAGAGCCCGAGAGGGCCTGCTTGACCATTTTTCACTCGGTTACTGAAATGCGAGAACAAGACCGAGGATCTGAAGAGCCGATTGGTCACCACAAAGATGAGGTTGGCAAACTTCGACGATGTCATCATCGTCAATTTCGGATGGCAGATGGCGGGCACCGTCATGTGATGCTGCGTCAGTTTTCTGTCGGCGAAGGTACTCCTCATAATTATAGGCAGCCTATGTCGTGGCAGGACGCCTATGTCGGGTCTTGGAAGGGAATGAAGAGTGGTGTTTCTGTGTTGTTGGCACGTATCGATGGGATATAGGATTCGAACAATGCTTCTTGTCATAACGACGGACCAGGTTTGGCTGCTAGCGTAGACTGCTGCGGAACTGTAGAAGGTCCTACTGCTGCACTGTCGGGCGGATAATATTCTTCGGCTGCATCTGCTTCGTCTTGAGGAGTGGCGAAACTCCGTTCGGCACTGTAGCGATCAGGATCTCGCCGCTGGCGTTCCTTGTTGCATTCGAAGTCACCGAGAAAATGTTTCTCGTAGAAGATGCAATCTCGGGCATACAGAACCTTTCGCATTTCGTAATCCATAATTATCTAGGAGTACGAACCTTTGGGTACACCGAGGTGTATTCCCAATCGAGCCCGTTTAGGAAACCTGCCCACAGTTGCGCTCGGAGGTCTGTATTGGACCATGCAGCCCCAGGCTCATAACATTCGATTATCGGCAGAGTGTTTTGTCCACATGACATTTGGCGAGCTGAACTGAGGAAGAGCTGTTGAAGACAAACAGTTGTGTAGGCGGACAGCTTGTGCCATCGCAAACGGCCAAAAGACTGCTGTCAAGCTGGACTGTTGCAGCAGCATGTGCATCTTCTCTTGCAGCATTCTGCTAGTTCTCTCAACTACTCCATTCTACTGATAGGCGTCAGGCATAGTCTTGCGCCTGAGTATCCCTTTTTCGTGCCAATAATTTATCAAACTGCTCACTAGTGTACTCGCCCGCGTTGTCTATCTGGATCTCTTTCAGGTTGATGCCGCTCTACGATTTTCAGCCATAGTTTGAAGGCGTTGAGAGCTTCAGACTTGTGAGAGATATCCTTGTGCTAGACATATCGAGTAGCACCGTTGACGAAAGGTAGTTATATAGCGGTAGTCGTTACCGCTGATATCCTCTGCTTCCTGCGGCATGAAAAGTACTGTAAATTGCTGAAAACGACATCCATATGTGAGTACTTAGTAGCACTTGGAAAGTGCGACAGGAACATAGCATGACTTAAGTGAGCTCCGGGGCAGAGGGTGCATGGTAGTTGACGACTACTAGGTCGAAGCTCTTGGCCGATGGTTAAAAGGAGAACGTCCTTGTCGAAAACCAAGGCTTTAGTCGAGTTGTTGAGAGCTTCTTGCAAGGGATGACCTAACCGCCTGTGCCAGATTTCTGATGTAGTGCGGTGTCCCTTTGAACGCAGGTACAAGTCGAGGTGAAGGAAGAACGTCGGCGAAAGATGAATCGTTAGCGCAGAGTCAACGCAGCGGCTGGTGCCGAGAGGCTGGATGAACCCGACTTCTTCTGCAGTTTCAACCCCAGGTATGCCGAAGTGTTGGCGACGCGCCCAAGCATAAGGTACGATTAACCCTTTCTTGCCCCATGAGCCATGAAGGAATCGAAGTCAGATAGATCGTCAGTAGAAAGACCAGAAGTAGTAGAATTCGTAATTGAAATTCTTGTATCGGTTCTTCTAACTCCACTAGCTCATAATACCATGTAGAATTGAACCACGTGTTTAGGGTGGCCAGGATCTAGAGTTGGTGGAACCAGGAGTAAAAGCTAGCGGAAGGCTTTACACTTTGTATTGGAAATGTCTGAAATGACAAGGATAATAATTATCAGTAATACATGCATATTTATAGTACATGAAGTACCTATTGGGAATGTACTTGTTCGTAATGTAACGCGACTATTCGCGTGACATGACTAGTGACTGTTCGTGTGATTGTGAGTGGCGTGACCCATCGGGTGACTATACGCGCTAACCTACTATTCACGCGTTGAATCCCTGCTGCTGACGTCATCACGCGAGTCCTTCATATGAGGTATCGCGCTAGTAGTACAGTGTAAGTGTTACATCGCGAATGCATAAGTAAACTCTGTCGAGTATACTTCAATAGATGTCATCCAAAATGGCATGCCGGGCCCTATATGGGTCTTTCCTGCCAGCTGTTATGGGTGGAAACCCAGAGTAGCGCGGAAGTGAATGTCGCAGTTCAGAATTACAGATTCACAAATTGTCGGTACTGTTAGAATACTAGAATGTCTAGGTAGGAAGAGAAGACGCCATGAATGTCGAAAGGTTTTAGGCTATGAGAAAATTTCCGAGAGAGAAGAGAGCGAGATTAGAAGAGAGAGGGATACAAGTAGGGAGTTGTACCCAGGTCCCTAGATTGGTTTTTAGGAGCCGTAATCGCTCAGGATTCCCCCTGAGTTTTTCTCTGTTTTTTCAGTGTTGGTCCCAAAAAAATTCCTCGTGAATCAGGACTCGTATATATATTTTTTTCCTGAGAAGACAGAGTAACTTATGGAGTGTTTCCTGATTTCTTAGAGGTTCTTAGCGCATGCTTTAGTAGCGAATTCATGTTTGCGGGGTGAATCGGGTCAGGTGGGCGAGATTGCAGGGGCTGAGGGAAATTTCGCCCATACAAAGCTCACATTAGGCCAAAAATTTGGCTAAGGGCCAAGTGCCCTCCCTCACACTGCCCCCCCCACGCGTCGAGCCACGGATTTGGTGAAGGGCGAATAAGCGCCCTCACAAAGCCTGGAGGGCGGGCTAGAACCTCGGAAATCTCTGCTGGCTCCCATGTTACGCATTGACGGAAACAGGTACAGTTTCATTGCAAAGCTGAAATTTCAGGATTCGTTAAGAAAACTTTGCTTAGTAATCAGAGTTGACCCCCCAAAAAAGGCTGGAAAAACAGGAAATGCCTTTCGAAAAATCCTGGACAATCAGGACTGGTACCAGCAACAACTATGTTTTTTTCCTGAATCAGGAAATTTTTCCTGCAATCTAGGGGCCTGGTTGTACCCTCTACAGTATGATCCAGTAACAACTACCAAGCATACCATAATATATATCTCAAATATATTATTTAACAGGTACAATGAATGACGAGGCTAGATATAGGAACACCAGAGCTAATCCCAACTGCGTGATGCGTAGGTTCGGAGAAGGCATCCGAGGACGCGGAGTGCTCCGGAATGACGCGGAATGGTTCGGTGTAGCACTTACGGTGACGGAACTAGGGCCTAGCCCGGTGCCGTGTACGTTAGGTGTACGCGCTAGGAGTGCGCCTAAGGAATTACTAATTCCTTACATAACCCAAACAAGCTACAATCACGTCCACAAAACATTTGCGAAGCGGCGCGGCAGTCCAATTATGGCAAACCTGGTTACCACAGCAGCACGGCGTGATGGGGTGGCGCGCCAAGTCGAGGTTTGGGCGGAGCGCGCATTTTTCTCGGAATTCTCCTCCCAACCAAAACCGCCACACCAATCAACCACATCCTCAAGGAAACCGCAAAACCCATGCCGTCCTCAAACCTCCCCCAAAACGAACGAGCCAACCAATCACACCACCGCTGTAAGCTTTCCCAAACCAGCCCAACAAACTGCGCTCGTCTGGATGAGTGAACCTCTCTTTAGGCACCATCGCTACAAGAACGACCACTTTCCGTGACACCGTTTGAACGCGTTGAACCCCCCACCACAAAATTCATCCCCACAAACCAACGACCTCAACTGCTCAGCAAACGTCACTATGGTGGAACTGCTCAGCCTAGTTTTCTGCGAATCCGCCCAACCAATCACAAGCTCCTTGTTGTGCCCCTCTGGCGTTCTCCGCGTCGCCTGCGACTCTCCCCTGTCAAACCCCAACCAATCCCTGGGCTTGCTTGCAGCCTCCTCTCCTCCCCTCCTCCCCCTTCTGTTCCGCCCAACCAATCACTCCAGCGCATGCGCCAAACTTGGGCTCCACGGCTCAGTGGCGCGGAGGCGAACGGAGCAAACGGCGGAGTCGAAACACCGAGTCACTCAGACTTCCACCGCACTATAACAACTCGTAACATACTGTAACGTTCCATACCGTGTACATTACCGCCGTGTAGCGCACCCTGACCACCACTCGATTACAACCGCCGCCAGCACCGTGCCAGAAACAGCAACACCCCAACAGCCGCAGCGGCGAGAGCAGGAAGAAATCAGCAGACAAGGCATCCATGTCAGACTGGTTCAGTAGGATGCAACACTCCCACATGCACGCCTTCTTTCCCCTCACCAACTTCTCAAGACCTCCACTCCACTCCACACTCACGTGATTTTGGTGGCTCTTGCTCCTGGTTACTCGTAGTTGGTATCTCCTGTGGCACGTGCTGCTCTGCTCTGGTCTCCCCTTCTCCTGTCATCGACTGACTGATTGTGTCCCCTGTTAGACTCAAGGTCTCTTACGCTTGTACGCTTGTGCGCCTCCTCCGACAGCTGCCGCGACGCACGTCGTTCACATGATTTGTCCGGCTTAGGCGAGATCAAGCGTCATCGCCCTAGAAAGCGACTTACAAAAGCGTGACGCGGAAAATTGATTTAAAAATCAAGCTTATTCCGGGTTACGAGAGGGTTAAGATCGGGCTATTTGGCTTGGTATGGGTCTAAACGAGAAGTCGGCCGTGACCAAGGAGCAGAATGATCGCCACAAGAAGGTAACCAGTTCGCTGGACACCGTCCACTCTAGTGCCTCAAGCGCCACTCCGCCGTCCTTTACTTCATTCATAGCTTGTCTATTATTTTCATGATAAGCAGCACACCATAACGAGAGGTGCCATTGTTCTGCACCCAGCGGTTTCGTGAGCGTTACGCCTCTGCGGTCGTCGTGGTAGCTGTGCATGCTCGTCACATGCTCGTCACATGCTCGTCACATGCTCGTCACATGCTCGTCACTCTTTCTGGGAACTGACAAACCCACGAGCCATTTTTAATCTACACAGAAATCGATTTTCCGACAGGCGTCATCCGTGCTTAGTGTTTGTGGTCTTTCGATGTGTGCTATCCTTCCCATGTGTTCCTTGTGGTCAGATTCTGGACGGCCTGTTGAAGCTCCAGGAGAACAGGGAGTGCGCCGATTGTCACTGCAAGTGAGCCCTTTGCTCCTCTCCTCTCTTATCTTCTATTCTCTTCTCTCCTCTCTTCGCCTCTCTCCCCCGGCTGTCCTTCTCTCCTCCTCTTCCTCTTCCTTTTCTTGTCAGCCGCCTCTCTCTCGCCCTTCCACCCGCCGCCTTTCTCCTGTGCCTTCCAGCTTCATCTCAATTCGTATCGTTCCATTTCCAATCTACACGTGCTCCGCTCCTGTGCTTGTCATTGCTCCGCTGATCCCAGCAAAGTGGTCGTGCGAACAGTATCTGTGACAGTGCCCCTTGTCACGCTGGTCGGTGCTGAAATGGCTGCCTGCTGATTGCCCGTTCTGCTCCCTCGCATCACACCCTTCAAATCTTGTTCCAATGTTTTCTCTTCCCCCCCCCCCCTCCCCGCCTTCCCCCCCCCGCCACCCACTTTCCCTCCCCCCAACCCCCCTCCCACCCCACCCGCCAACCCTTTCCGCTGCTGTTCCCTGGTTGGCGGAGCAGGGCTCCGCGGTGGGCGAGTGTGAACCTGGGCATATTCATGTGCATCCAGTGCTCCGGCATCCACCGCAGCCTCGGAGTGCACATCTCCAAGGTATCGCCCTCCTCGCCGTCCTTGCTTGCACACGCGCGCGCTCGTCCAATTGACCTCCCACTCTTCCTCCCCTCCCCCCGTCCTCCCCTCCCCTCCCCTCTTTCCCTCCGTTCCCCTATCCCCCGCTCTCTTCTTCCGTGTCTCTCTTTCTCACACATTCGTTTCTCTTGCCTCGCCTCTACTTTCATCCTTGATCACTCTTTCTTTCCCCTCCTCTTCCCTCTACTTTCCGCCATGTATTTCCCTTCCCACCGTTGTCTCACCATGTGGCACCGTGCTATGTTGTCCCATGTGATGATGGGACCAGGTCCGCTCTGCCACTCTTGACACATGGCTGCCGGATCAAGTCGCATTCATGCAAGGTGTCTCTCCCTTTCTCTCTGTTTCGTCCCCGTCCTTCACCGTTCTATCCTTTTCTTTCTTCACCGTCATCTACCTTTCCACTACTCCATTTCTTTACCCCTTTTGAGTCGACTCAAAAGTCACCTTTCTTCACCGTCCTCTACCTTTCTACTACTCCATTTCTTTACCCCCTTCCGCTTCTTTGCCTGCGACTGTTGTCTGCCTGGCTTCTACCCCCTGTTAACTCTCGTGTTAGATTCGTCCGGTTGCACCTACTCCCCCCTCTCCTCCCTCCCTGCCAGTCAACTGCACCTTCTTCCTCCTGACAGCTACTGACTGCTCTGTTTGGCAGTTACATCCCAACTTCTTTCCCTCAGTGCCCCAACCACAGTCTCCGACCCTGTCCAATTATTCTGGTCGCTCTCGCCCTCACTCTCTTCTCTTCTTCCTTCCTCCTCCCCCCCCCATCGCAGCCATGGGCAACGCCAAGGCCAACGCGTACTGGGAGGCGCGCCTGCCGCCCTCCTTCCGCCGCCCCTCTGAGAACGACAAGATCGCCCTGGAGAGCTTCATCCGCGCCAAGTACGTGCACACTTGTGTCGAGTGATATTGCCCCCTCCTGAGAACAACAAGATCGCCCTGGAGAGGTTCATCCGCGCCAAGTACGTTCACACTTGTGTCCCTCCCCGCCTCCTGGAATAATATTTTGGAGTCGACTTTCAATGCCCCCCTCTGTGAACGACAAGATCGCCCTGAAAAACTTCATCCATGCAAAGTACGCTCACTCGTTCCCTTGCCTCCTCTCCCCCTCTCCATCTTCTCCCCTCGCCAACCCCGCCTCACCTCACCTCTCCTCCTCTCCGCAATCGCCCCCATCTCCTTTCCGCCACCTTCCCTTCCCCCTCGCCTCCTCTCGTGTTTCTGCCTTTCCCTGCATGGCTGCTGCTCTGACGGTGTCAGGTACGAGCAGAGACGGTGGGTGGGGTCTGAACCCCCGCGAATCACCAACGGATCCAGCAATGCTGCTGCATGGAGGGAGAGAGAGGATCAGAGCATGAAGGAGCGGAGACACGTGCAGGCGGGGCAAGGGCAGCACCAGCACCATCACGAGCAGCAGCAGCAGCAGCAGCAGCAGCAGCAGCAGCAGCATCATCGCCACCACCACCACCACCACCATCATCACCACCACAGGGCAGAGCGTGCAGATTCAGCAACAGCAAGGCGTGAGGAGGTGAGTGCGTGGCATGGTTGTTGGGGGCTGCTGCTTGCGTGTCAGTTGAGGTGGTTGGTAAGTACGTACGCTTGGGGTTGGTCGAGTTATATGAGCAATCGAATGGGCTTATGGGGTTGTTTGGTGCACCAGACAGTTTCCTCGAAATGAGTTGTTTGAGGGCTCGGCTCGGGAGCATGCGTGCATGCGTGCATGATGCCCAGCACTGCACATTGTCGCTGTGAGGGACGTTCAGGAGGTTTGAGCAGAGGGCACGGTAGTACTGCTTGTGTGCTCTGCAGCACCCCAATAATCTGTTACTTTTCTTCTCGTTGTGTTTGTGGGGTGTTCAGGGTCGACTCAATGGTGGTGTTCAGCCAGCGGCCAAGCCCATGCCGAGTGCTGCTGCCGCTGCTGCTGGTGCTGCTGCTGCTGCTGCGAGCGTCCCGTCATCAGCAGCCTCCGCCCCTAGAGCCCCCGCTGCTGCTACTCCCTCCCCCGCTCCATCCCTGGCTCCTTCCCCTGCTCAGCCCTCTGCCCCACGCCAACCAGCCGATCTGTTTGACCTCCTCTCTCTCAACGACCCGTCTCCTGCTGTGGCCCCTGCCGCTGCTGCTGCTGCTGCTGCGGCGTCGCAGGGTGTGGCTCCTCTTACCAGCACCACCACCATCACAACAGAGTGGACTGCCTTTTCAGGTGTGCATGACAAAAGAGCATGCTGTTCTGAGATGTCTCAAAAGAAGATTATCATTGCAGGGTGTGGCTCCTCTTACCAGCACCACCACCATCACAACAGAGTGGACTTTCTCAGGTGTGGGTCACAAGGAGCATTCTGCTGTTTTTGTTAATTAAGAGAAGAAAAAAGTAAAAGAAAAAGTAACACTGCTGGGATGGAAAATGTAGGAGGAAATGAGTAAGATAAGGAATCAGCAGCCACGGAAATGGTCAGAAGTTTCAAGGTTTACCTTCTCTTCTCCTCCCCCTCCCCCCCGTTCTTCTCCCGTGCGACAGACACAACCCCATCGACCACAGCAGCCCCTGCAGCACATCTCGCAGTAGGCACTGGCGCTTGGCCTTTCACCACCCCTGCCCCTACTACATCTACCACTCCTGCTGCTGCTATCTCCTCCCGTTCCCCTGGTGCCACCACGCCAGCCATGCCTGTCGCTGGGGGCAATGCCAACTCCAACATCCTCAGCTTGTTTGAGGTCCGTTCGCTGCCCGTCTTTTCTGTTATTCTCTGCCCTTCTTGTTTGTTTGTCTGGCTCCTTTTCATCCATTCATCTCTGCCCTTCATATATTTTCTATCCGCCGCTCTGTCCTGCGTTCTGTCCTCTGATTCGTGGCCGGTTACGCTTCCCCGCGTGTATCTTCTCCCCCTTTTCCCTGTCCCCTGTGCTGCTCGTGGTCATCCAGACGCCCATGGCAAGCCCTTATGCTCAGCAGCAGCAGCAGCAGCAGCAGCAGATGATGATGATGATGCAGCAGCAGCAGTACATGGCAGCAGTAGCAGGAGGAGGCGGAGGGGGATGGGGACCAGCAGCTAGTGCTGGGGGCAGTGGCATGTGGCAGATGCAGCAGCAGCAGGCCCAGTACAACATGCACATGCCAACGGGGTCAGTTGCTTTCTCGCTCGCTTGCCTCCTCCACCATGTTACCATGTTGCAGTGCCCCCTCCCTTCACAATGATTACTCTGGCATGGCATGGCATGGCAAGGGATGGTTTCCTCCTTTCTAGTTGCTTTGACCTAAGACACAACTTCTCCCTGCCTCATCATTTTCCTGTCTCAAGCATTTCACCTTGTCCTCGAGAATTCTCAAAACCCAACTCATCCCACATACTCCACAACCCCACCCCTTCTCATCGTCGCCTAATCCTCCTGCCCTCCTCCCCTCCCCCCCCCTCCCCCTTTCCGTCCCTCACTCAGACCACATACCACTGCACCAATTGCCCAGCCGCAGTACTCTGGCGCGTACATGCTCTCTTCGTCGCTCTTCAACCCCCTCTCCCCTGCTGCCGCTCCTGGAGCGTCCAGTGCTTTCGGCGGCGGTGGTTACTCCTCCCAGCCCATGGCAGCACCAGGCATGCCATATGTCAGTCCGGGATTCGTCAATGTGCCTGTGTCTCCCGTTGCTGCTGCTGCTGCTGCACCCACCTATGACTTCTCCTATCTCACAGCGGCAGCCGCTGCTGCTCATGGCGTCTAGGGAGAGGAGAGCAGACTTTACCCGGAAGATGGATGCGACAAGGGGAGAGGGGAGGGTGGGGGGGAGGTGTACTCTTGGGGGGGGGACTCCTCAGCAGAGGTGGTGCTGTAGCTTGCAACCTGCTGGCTCATCCTGGTGCGCTGCTGGTTTTTCGGGGCTATGACAGAGGTTTACCCTCTGTGTGCAGGGGGGCTGGAGGGAAAGAGGGCCGATGGGAAGGTTTAGACAGGTTGATCAGTCAGGCAGCCATGTGACCGTGTTAGTTCAGCTCAGTTGAGAGGCTCTTGAGGGCTGTCGGGTTGAGGGCTGTGGGGTTGATGGCCGTGTCTGTGGGGTTTGATTGAAGGGTTGAGTTAAACAGTACGGTGGTAATTCTGAGAAGGCTGTTTGTGAGGCGGGCTTTGCTTGCTGTGTAACAGCTTTGGAACGCTCAAGTCAGACTAGTGGTAGTGTGTTGTGTTGACTGGGCCTTAGCTGAATGCTGAGGGCTGGTTTTATCCCCTAGGATTGTCACTTGTGTATGTAGTTCAGCTCTGAGTACTGCTGTGCTCAACTTCCTGGTTTTGCTTGCAGCCTGCTTTCAAGTGCGCTCCTACACTTATCAGACATGTGAAACTGTTCAGTGCACCCAAACTGGTTTTTTGAGGTTCATTCAGGCATGACATGAGTCCAAAAAGGGGTTTGTGTAATGAGGAGTCCTAGGAACATGCTCTAAGGCAGCAGTACTAGAGGTGGCATGCAGTAACCACCTTCTCTCAGGCACATACAGTACCCCCTAAGATGATCCATTGCAGTTCAACCTGTGCAACTATCTCTATGGCCTAGCACCATACATGCCACTGCCATAGGCTTTCACTTGCCATACAGTACCAGTCAATAGCTCACGCAGTTCCATCCCTCAGTGAGTTGTGAACAGAGTCATCCATCCAACACACACACACAGTGCATTGGTCAACACGGCATGCACATTTGACCCCACTTGCCACCCCCCCTCCACAGCTCCAACACCAATAAATAATCACCGCTGTACATTACACATGCACCCCCCTGCTGCTCTTTCTCGGTTCACAGTCGAAAAATGCCCATCTTCCAAGCACAAAAACCGCTGCAGATAGTACCATGACCTCCGCCAGCAATCCTGCTTCAATGCCCTCCTGTCCCCCATCCATCTGCTTCTCTCACGCCCCCTCTCTCTCCTTGGATACTTCTCACAAAGCTCTGTATATTACCTCCACCTCCCCAGTCCCCACCTCCATATCCATTCCCCTCTGGCATGTCCTCTCCCTGCTCCCCCATCCTTGCTTCCCCCTGTTGCTCTCCCCTTCCTCCCAGCCCACTTCAGCCCCCTTCCCCCGCTCATTGCACATCGCTTCTACCCACCTCCGATGCAACAGGCATCAGCCCCTCCCCTCTCACCACCCCATCCCCATCCATTACCCCTCCACTGCCGCCCGCTCCCAGTGCGCTACCGCTGTTCGCCCCGCCCCTGCCCCCGCTGCTGTGTGGTCTGGAGAGGCTCGGACCGCCACCGGGACCACATCCGAGCATGGTGAAGAACTGCCACTTTTGCGAGCGGTTCTTATGGAGCTCCTTAATCACCGCGGCGCGCCCCTTACTCACGCCCTGCTTGCCCTGCTGCCGCGACATGCGCACGTACACTAGCGCTGCAAGCGATGCTGCGGTTAGGAGAACCACCAGCCCCCCCACCACCCCCACTACGATTTTCCACGCGGGAACAGACGTGTCGGGGGGAGGCGGCGGAGGCGGCAGCGGCGGGGACGGCGGAGGAGGGGGGACGAACGGGGGGGGCGGCGGGCTGGGGGGAGCGAAAACGGGGGGGGAAGGCGCGGCGATGTTCGTGCTGGTCCAGCAAAGCGCGAAGTAGTTATTATTAACTACGGCCTGCGCGCACGGCACGTATAGAGTCAGGGGCTTGCTGGAAATAAAGCCCGTGCCTAATTCCTGCTCGTACATAGTCACGTGGCCGCTCGCGGTGATGTTAGTGCACTGGTAGTTACCTCCCGAGGTTAGATCGTCGACGAGCGGCACGGGAAAATACACCACGATAGGATCGTTCGCGGAAGCTGCGGCCAGCACCAGCGCAGGCTGCATAGCCAGCGGAGGGACCTTCGCAGAGCTTCCGCCTGCGCCGGTTCCGTCGGTTCCGCCGGGGCCCGCGAGAACGGACGAGGGGTACGTGAGCAGCGCCACTTGCGGCGAGACGAAGCTCATCGGCTGGAGGAACGCCGGCGGCGAAGAAACAGAAGAGCCAGAAGTGCCGGGAGGGCCGGAAGGGATGGGTTGGCGGGGAGAGTTGCTGTAAGGCCACGTGGACGAAGCCGGCGTGGGGATGGCCGCGTTTGGCGCAAATATCTTGATGTACATCAGGACGACCGTGTCAATCGCGCCTCCGCTTCCGCCTCCGCCTCCCGCGCCGGCGCGACTCGGGACATTGACGTCTTTCGGAAGGCTGAACTCGAACCACTCGAGCGACGCCAGCTGCGCGGCGGCGAGCGGCCATACATCCACGCGTATCTCCACCCCCGGCGCCAGCAGCCCGGCAACCGCGGCGCTGATGTCGGCGGGATTCACGGAGCCGTTTCGGCCCTGCCGCGTGGGGTCGGAAAGAATGGCCGCGGCGGCTTTAAAGGCGTGCGGTTGCACGGCGCGCACGACCTGCTCGAACGGCTGGCGCGAGGGGGTTCCGCCGGGGGCGCGCGGCGGAAGCGGGACGTCGGCGCGCTGGAGGCTCCGGATGGGGATGGAGGAGTGCGGGTGAAGCGGGGACGGCGGAAATGGCGGGCGGAGGGAGCGGACGCGGAAGGAGTCTGCGGAGGCGGGAGCAGCGGGAGCAGCGGCGGCAGCGGCGGCAGCGGCGGTGTTGAGGATAAACGGAATGGAGGTAAGGGCTGCGCGCTCTTGGCGAGTGTGGGGTGCCTGGAAGAGGGAGAGGGCGATAGCGGCGCAGAGGATAAGATCGGCGCGAACGCGGGCGGAAAGCGAAAAACGTCCGAAAGCCGAAAGACGGCGTCTGCCGGCGCCCGCCCGTTGGCTCCGCACTCGTGGAAACACAGCCATTTTGAGAGCGTTCGCCACCGAAGCGCGGAGAAAAAGTACGATGCTATCCTCCTAAGGCATCGCCCGCTCGTCGTCGATCCCAGGAAGTCCAAATCGAGCTGAGGAAGCAAGTACTATATGCGGGAAGTGCTGTACTGGCCTAACCTTCATGCCGTTCTGTGTTGTGCTAGTTGTCCTGTTCTGTGCGATGCAGAGATTTCCAGATCGGTAGTGTTTCTCGAGATGCTGGGTTTGGATACGCCCTCAGGCCGAGACAACACGGTGGGCCAGATTCAGGGCGCATTCCCAAACCCTACTGTAGTCCAGGTTTCAGCCAGACGTGCTCCAACAGCCACACAGCGTTTGAGCGTGAGGGGGGAGGCGGGCAAATCTTACCGTCAATACAAATCACAGCTCTGTGCATAGTGCTGTACAGTCTTCAGCCTGATCAACCCGGGGATGGCCCGAAGCGTGGAGTGTGGAGCGGCACGTTGGGAACTGGTTTTCGTGCTTCACCGCCTAGAACGTCGAGGGATGGAATTGGCCTGTGGAATGCACGGACGCACTGGTTGGGACACGCCCTAACCTAGCTACCTCTAAAGTACATTACCACGTTGTTGTGATTTGCCGTGCGGTTGGCACACCAGAAACAACAAGAGGGGCTCTTCTGTGGTGCCACGACATGGTCGGTATGTCTGCAACGCTGTGTCGAACGTGAGCTGCAGGTGTGTTTCGAGAGGGAGCCCAACTGATTGGCTGGCTAGACGTCTGAAATTGGTTCGATCTAGGCTGGTATGGATGGGTGGTTCGGAATCCAGGTCAGGAATCAGTCTACGCCATTAGCGGTACAAAAGCGGACGGCATTTCGGTTTGGAAGAAATTGGTGGAAGGGAGGGGATGGGTGGCCAGGAGGGCACGAATTCCAGCAACAGCATCAGCGCCAAGTGGGTAACATAAATTCGCAATACAAATTCATTGTAAGGAAATACCCTTTCCATACTGGGCTCTACTACTACACCCTCGACTCTCGCAAGTCCAGGCTCGGCCAACTTCTACGGTCTCGAACCATTTCGTGAACCCAAACCTAGATGCGCGGCGCTTCTGTGGCTTTCGCCAACCGGACCGCCCCAACCTGTTCGCATGGTTATCGGCTAGTTCTGTTCATGCCTATAAATGTCCAGGCCCTCATTTGTATCGACATTCCTGAATCACGACTCCTTTGTTGCACTACCCTGTTACTACTCTGATTAATTCATAAAATTCCTACTCAAGAAGTCATACAATCTAAGAGAGCAAAAGCACCTTCAAATTGGGGAAGCACTAACGGTGTAGACCACTTGAGTTGGAGCAGACGATGGATGCAATGGTCGATTCCCATGAAGTAAATAATGATGAAGCTCTTACGTTCATCGCTGGCACCGCATACGCCTCTTGGCCATATGACATGGTGGTACTGGTTGGCGCAAGCCATCACTGAGACCTCCCAACCTTTCCACCCAAATGTACCCTCAAGCTGCATTCTGACAACAAACCCCTTATTAATCTCCTCCATGCCTTTGTCCCATCCTCTATCTCCCGTCACTAATATCCCCAGCCACATCCGTTCCCAGCGAACTCTCCCCAGTGAATACTTCACCCGAAACAATTTCCTCACACAGTACTCCATCCGCCAGCCTGTCGCTCTCCGCACTCCCCACATTCTCTAGCTCATTCTTCTTCCTGTCCTTCTCAGCACCAATATCCGCTTCACTCAGCTTCTTTGCTAAATCCACTTTGCTCCCCTTACTTGGCAAGCTCTCCCCTAGTCCCCTCCCGCTTCCGCCGCCAAACCACCAGCGGCTCTTGCTTGCAGAGTGCATCGCAGCAAACACAGCTGCTCGCCCCCTGCCCAGGTTCCTATCCCCCTTCTCCCTCTGCTGGCGCCGCGCCAGCCATACATACACCAACCCCGCCACTCCCGCCGCCACCAGCACGCCAAGCGCCACCCCCACGCCTATACCCACCCCCGAACTCCCTCCCCCTGAAGGCGGGGAAGGCGGAACAGGAGCCTGAATGATGGGCGACGGCGGGGGAGGGGGGGGAGAGGGGGGCGGGCTGGGGGGGGGAGGAGGTGGGGAGGGAGAGGGTGGTGGCGGAGGCATGGGGGGAACGGTTGAGGGGACTATCAGGGCGACGAATTGGTCCGTGAGGAGTTTCTCCTCGCACCTCTGGTTGACTATTTTGCCATTGGGCGTGGCGGTGACCTCGGCCGTCGAGGTGGTTATGGCGTACGCACCGTTGACGGACACCGCGTAGCACTCGTACGGCTGCTCAGTGTCCGCCACGGGCGTTAGGTATCTAAAGACCTCGGCATCTCCACCTAGGACGATGGGCGTCGCGAGCCCCGCGGACGACGCCGGCTGCAGCGGCGGCGGCGGCGGCTGCTGCTGCTGCTCTGCGGCCTGGCGGCGGCTGTCCCAAAACGGCTGCATTACCGCGCCGGGGTACGCCTGCGCGGAGAGAATCGACGGGAAGAAGCTTGCCGTGAACGGGCGGACGGGCGGGCTTTGCGCTGCGAACGGCCAGTTTGCGGACGGCGCAAGCGGGAGGGACGAAAGGTTGGTGTCCTGCATCGTTATCTTGACGTAGACGATAACGAGCTCCGTTAGGCTGGCGGAATAGGCGGGATCATCGGGGGAAGTAAGCTCTGGTGCTTTGAAATCATCCCAGCCGGTAGCGAAGACGTGGGAGAGATTAGCCTTGTACATAGGCCACACGTCGAGCTGCAGTTTAAAGCCCGGTGCGAGAAGGCCGGTAAGCGCCGACTGCGCTGACGATGGGAAATCTGAAGCCGGCACGGTGACGGGTTGTTTGTCACCAAGTTTCGTCGCCGCGGCTTTCGCGAACGCGACTGGCTGCAGAATGGCCATCAGCTGCGCGTACGCGGAGGCGGAATGGGCGCGGGAAGCGGAGCGGAATGAGGCGCGGAAATGTGCGCGGAACGGCGGAGGCGGCGGAGGAGCGGCGGCGAGGAGTCTCGCGCGAGACGAGCGGAGGGGAAGCGCGGAGTGGAGCGTGGCGCGGGAGCCAGAGTGGGATGTGCGCGGCGGCAGTTGCGCGGAGCAGATGGTTAGGAGGAAGATGGCTGCGGAAAGCATAACGCAGGCGGCGGGAGAGGTCATTGGGCTCATGGAAGAACGACCACAACAAGGATGATGATGATAGTGATGGCGACTAGGAGGAGGAGAGGGACTGTTTCTTAGATGAGGTTGTGGGCGGTTGCGTAGTGGAGGAGAAATACGCACTGCGCAAGACGCCGCGCCTGTATGCTCTGGTAGGAAATCCATGGTGGAATGAAAGGGGAAGAGCACTAAGTGTATGGTGAGCAGATTCTCCGTGCGTAGGGCGTAAGGTAGGAATGGCAGCTGTTTCAAGTTGAAAGAACAGTGCGTGGTACTGTAGTAAGCTGGCTGCTGAAGCTATTGCGTCTCCTTGGATGTTGGAGAGAGATGAGCGGTCACGATGCATTCACAGAAAGGGGCCAAGGTTGTTTCTGATGGTTCTAACAACTGTACCCATACCCTAGGCTTCAGATCAGATACACCCGAGAGGAGGCCCGCGAGGGCGTGTCTGGAAATCTACCAACCCCTGGATGGATGCACCCATATTTTCCCATTCCCTCCCATCCCAGTCACATTTCTCATCTGCTCATAAAAAGGAAAATTGCCAAGTCACAGTTCACGAGTAATCTATTTACGCCGGACTGGGACCCCCTGTTTGGACAAAATACATGCCATTCCGGAATTTTACATGCCTAAACTTCCAGCCGACTTCCCATTCCCTTTGTATAATTCGCTGGAAAGCGGTTGACGACTGGAAACAATTTGGAAAAGAGCATCAGAATCCAAGCTAGCACGCCGACACATACGAACAAAAACTGCTTGATTGGTGGAAGAAATGACAGGGCACGTGGAAACTGTGTGACTGGCCTGTGGTCGGTGCTGGACAAGGTGTACGGTATTCGCTTCACCCTTCGACTAACACTGTAAATACAGCACTTCCTTTTCTACTTCCATACGGCTGTTGCTTCATTACGATACCATTTTCACTCCCCCCACCCCATTTATGTTCTTAAGGTCTTAGCAAATCATTGAGTAGAGTACCAACACAGCAAAATTTAACAATTTGGCAGAAGGGGGTCCATCTCGTGCTGTACATCAGGTACAGGGTAAAGAGAAGGTTATTGGGGCGTGCTGAAAAACAGACTACTCCCTATGTACAACCTAAGTTACTCACGCCCCAGAGACAGCGCCGAGATCAGCGCTGCGGTCCTTCGAAGAAGCATTTGCCCTCTGCTCCTCCGTAGTCGCAGATCCACCCTCCACAGTAGTGTCTTCAGAGCTTGGATTGTAAACCCTACGCTTAGACAAGCCAGAAACCATTTCAGGCACAGGTTTCGATCCGGAGCTGGTACGTCCTTCTGTGGGCAGATCTGCCTTCCCACGCAACCTGGTCTCAAGGTCGTCACCAAGAGCAGGAGACCGGCCCTTTCGCGCTTGCTTATTACCCTGCAGCCAAGATGGAGCAGAATGGAAAATGTGGTATAAACTCAAGGTCACAACGCGGCATAAGAATCCAGTGCTGAAAAACAATGACAACGGCAATGCAAGTACCTCCAAGAGCAGAGCAACGAAAGCAGGCAACCCGTTGTCGTTCACAAACTCGACCAAAGCCTGGCGAGTTGGCGCATTCAGAGATTCCACGACCCGCCTCTCCTCCGGTTCCCACGCCTGCATCCCCCCTCCAGGCCCTTCTGCCGTCACCCTGTCAGACACCGCCCTCCCCACTCCAGCACCAGCCTCCTCCCGCTCCCGCTTCCCCTCGAGCTTGCGCGCGTGGGCACGGCCCAGAGCCTTGACGTGGAAGGGATGGACGAGGGTGTCGTAGATGAGCGCCGCGCCGTGGTATTTGGGTAGCACCAGCCATGCGAAACCCGCGAGCTTCGCGAGCGAATAGAGTGGGATCCTGATCACAGTGATGGATAGGCATATTGGGCGACAGGCAGCCTTTGTGATCACCTGATGAAATTCTACGAATTCGGATATTAAGAGGTGAAAAAATCTCTATTAAATGGTGAGAACAACATGGGATCATAGTCGAAAGGAGAAGGTGCCTTACCAGGACAAGATGGGCGCGAGGAAGTGCTCAAGGGTGGAAACGATAGAGAAGAGGACCCAGTAGGTGAGCCATTGACGCACGGCGGATGGTTCCGCGAACTCGATGGTGCGAACGAACTCCAGGCTGAACGCGGGACGAGAAGATTGTAACGGCGTGTTTTAGACAACGCTGGTATTAGCATGAACGGAAATAAACAAAAACCAAACAAATACACGAAAACTGCAGGCATGCTGCAAGAAAGCCTAGGGGGATGATGAGAAAGTTACTTACAGCGGATATACGAGCATGAGAATCGGCCTGCGAGAATCACGAAAATATTGAGAGCTCGTGTTAGTAAGAAATCCACGGTCATAGGTATGTCGCATGTGTGAATCCGTTGACTTACCCAGCCAGCCTCAGACCGGATGTGAGCAGGAAGAAAGGGTTGGAGAAGGAAGAGTTTCTCTTGGCTGTGGAACCAAATATCCCAGCAAACCTCGATGCGTTCCTCAAGCCGCCGGTGAAATTACTACCGATCGCCATTGTGGAAAACAGCGTGGGAGTCAATGATATTCCTCCGCGGAGTAGCAGAGTCAACACAAATGCACTATCAAATAGTAGAAATTCCCTTAATAACCCTAGCTGCGGAGGACTGTGCAAGAGCAGATGAGTTAACTGCTTGTGACGCGTGAAAGTCGAGGAAGCCCAGCTAGCAGCTCTACTCATGTACTGGAATCGTTTGCTGCAGAGACTCGGTGCAGTAGAGAGGGCAGCAGTGAGCTACCAGGAAGGAGGGTAGTGAAGAGCAGGCAGTGTGCCGAGAGCGCCAATTCACGTCAATGGAGGGGCAAATGATGAAGTCGACGGATTTGCCAAATATACGCCATGCGGCTCGCCTTGGCCAGCATGCACGGCCCGCCTTCCTGACCATTGAATGGACGCCACGTGTAGAAAAACGGAGCAGGTTGAGTGTGCAACTGACGGTGCGGATTGTTTCGACTCGAGAACATTCGTTACGCGCCAGCCTCATCAAGACGTCCGAACTATATTTCATCATTACGTAAATTGATAATACATCATCAACCTATGATAGGCCATGCCTTCTTGGTGAACGTATCCAACCAAAAACCCATCTCATATTATAAAACAGAGTATTCACGTCCAACCTATCCACCCTATGAATCTGCCCTAGAGTCGCGCAGCCTGGCGAGTGATGAATGGGCGAAGATACTCTTCATATCCATCGATAACATCAGGGATGTTCATCGGGTCCGCAGTGGCTCGGCTCACAAGGTCGGTGTAGACATCCCCATTATAGCGGCCCAGAGAGGAGTTGAGGAAATTATCCGAGAACTGAAACGCATCCACCAGGGGCACTGCGATGCGCCGCACCTGACAGGGAGGATCAAGGAGCAAGAACATAAAAGCGCACCTGACAGCATTACCATCCCATACATACAAATGGCAAAAAGAGGCCGGATGTGCAACGGAGGGAACAGCAAGAATCAGAGACACACCTGTGGCAGCAGGGCGAGCAGCTGCTGTTGCACGAGAGCAGGGTGGTCCGGGGAGAAGTACTCCCCGGCCATGAGGTCAGCCACGGATGCATCGATGAGGTGCAGGCAGTACACATTGCACAGGAGCTGCAGCGCATCCACCACGCCCTGGCTCGTGCGCCCCTCATCCCTCAGCTCCTGCACTCGCTCCACAAACCTGGCGGGGTGGAGAGGGGAGGGGAGGAGAGGGGAGGGGAGGTGGTTTGAGAAACGGGCAAAGGGGAGTGGAGAGGCGGGTGTTGCTGGTGGAAGGAGTCAAGATTTGGCAGGGCGATGTGATGCGATGCGATGCGATGCAATACGATGCAGTGAAATGAGATGAGATGCGATGTGATGTGATGCAATGTGATGTGATGTGATGCGATGTGATGCGATGCGATGTGATGCGATGCGATGTGATGCGATGCGATGTGATGCGATGTGATGCGATGCGACGCGATGTGATGTAATGTGATGTGATGCGATGCGATGTGATGCAATGTGATGTGATGCCTGCATACTTGGCGGCGGATATGAGGCGACAGTGTGCAGCGGCGGCAGACGTCAGTGCCACACTGTTGTCAAGGAAGCCTGTATGGCGTACAGGGTCATGGGCATGGGCACACAAAAAACACATGGGACAGTCGCGAGGTTAGGAACGAAAGCAGACAGTTCCGTGCACTTGCAGGAAACACGAAGGGTTAGGAAGAAGGGAGTGCGACGCACACCATTGTTACAGTGTTCTGATGGCAATGTATGGGAACAAAGCACATAGACCCAGGGCGATGCACACACAGCCCCGTGACAATGCCCACACAGCCCCTTGGTAGAGTAGTCCACCACACACTGCCTGCCAGCAGCACACATCATCGGGACCGCCAGCAGCACATATCATCAGGACCACCACCCTGCTCCAAGACATGCAAGCGCGTGCACTACCTTTTTCAACAGACGGAGCAGCAGCAACGGCTGTGGCGGCCGAGACGGCCTTGTGGAATGCACACGCCTGCAGCGCTGCCAGCTGCGCCGCTGTTTCAAGGAAGTCCGAGGCTGAGGAGTACGGCGGGCCAGACAGGTGCATGGAAGGCGATAAAATGTGGGGGGAGAGGGAGTGACCAACAGGGAAAGAGTTAGGAGGGAATGAGAGATGAGTGATGAACAATGATCGATGAGTTCGGGAATGACAAGAAAGCGAAAAGTGGACAGGGGTTGAGGGTGAAAATTAGTCCAGGTCCCAAATAGTCACGCAGGCATCAAACTAGGCCCAGTTTGATGCTGACCGCGCTCGAGAACTGCCCAAGAAAAAAAGAACCAACTACCGCTTCGCCACTGTGAGAGGCAAAATCGAGGCTGGTATTGTCGTGCTTCGTGCCACTCCCAAGTCTTCCTTTGCTTCAACTATCCTTCCTCCTTACCCTTCTTCCTCCCTGATCCATTCCGCCTTGTGTAGGTTATCACTGGTGCCCTGGGACCAAGCTCTGCTGCCCCCTCCCTGGCTGAATCGGGTTCTTCGTTCGGTTCAGACATGGGACACTTTTGCTTGGTCCACCGCTCTCCGGCTGCCGCCACATTCGTAACATGCTCTTTCCTCGTCTCTCCTTTCTCATTCTGCACTACTAACACTCCCGACGGCCGTGTCTCCTTCACGCGCCACCTCTCGCTGCCCACTGATAGTTCTAGAGTGTCCTTCCGCGCCTTTCTCAGGTACACTTCTTTTCCCACTGCCACGTTACTGAGTATCCCTCCGGTCTCTCGTTCTCGCCGCTGCTGGTATCTGCGAGCATCTCTCAACTGCGCGGTGTGCAGATTCTCTAGCGCTGCTGGCATCAGCTCTTTCAGGTATTCTCCTCTGCGCATAGCCGCTTCTCCCCATGCTTCCGCTGACCCCTCTTTCATTACTTCAGTGAGTAGCTTGGGCACATCCACCGGCAGCACTGGCGCTCTTCCGTACAGCAGGTGGTACGGGGACGTATCCTTCAGAGATGACTGCTTTGCGAACCGATAGCCCGCCAGTACCCATGGCAGCTCTGTATCCCACTCTCGCTTCCTCTGTTCGCCATACACCCGTAGTCCTCTTTCGATCGTCTGTATCATCCGTTCTGTCAACCCATCTGATTGAGGGTGATACCGTGATGTCACTCTGTGAGTGATGCCTACTTCTTTTAGGAGCTCTGGAAAGCTGCCTTGAAACTCTGTGCCTTGATCTGTCAGCACCTCTCCGCAGGCCCCAAATCTGGTGAGTACTTGGTCCAGAAACGCCTCCCGAATCAGTCCACTGTTCTTGCTGGCTATTGCCCTTGCCTCCACCCATTTTGTCGTGTGCTCGATCATCACGATGATGTACATCTTTCCTCGCCTGGACAACGGTAATTCTCCGGTCAGGTCCAAGGACCACCTGAACCCTAGCCCGCGTATGGGCAGTGACTGCAGTTCTTCCCTGCCCTTCTCCAGCGCAGCCTTATTTCGCTGGCATGCCTCACACCCCTGTACCCACAGTGCCACATCCCTTCTCATTATTGCCCACCAGTAGGTGGTGCATAACAGCTGCCTTGTCCTGGCTCCCCCATAATGCCCCAGCTTCTCATGCACTTGCTATACGATGCGCGCTCTCTCTTCTGGCCTTGGCACTACTTTCCATCCTTCTGCCGTACGCAGCTGCATCTGATTTTGAAACCATCGGTAATGCCCTCCTCGGCTTCTCGCCCTTACAGTCACCGCTGCCGCATCCTCTGTCAGGCCTTGCACCCAGTTTAAGGTCTCCTTATCTAGCCAAATATCCTCTGCTCTTGGCTCCTTCGCCTCCTCCTCTTGCTCCTTCTCTTCTTTCGGCATTGCTGTTGCAGCCCACTGCTTCTCCCCTTCAGGTGGCGGGTTCCGAGACAGCCCGTTTGCATGCTGCAGTGTTTTTCCTGCACGATGCTTGATGACGAAGTCATACTCCTGCAATCGCATAGCCCATCGGGCATTCCGTCCAGTCAGAGTTTGATTAGTCATCAGCCATAAGAGCGGCTGATGATCCGTGACCAGTGTGAATCTGTGCCCCTGCAGGTAAGCCCTGAAGTGTGTTATTCCCCACACTTCTGCCAATCCTTCCCCTTCGTATGAACTGTAGTTTGCTTCTGTTGCTGTGCAGCTTCGGCTGGCGTATGCCACCACTCGTTCTTCTCCTTCCAATTCTTGACACAGCACTGCTCCCATGCCCTTGCTGCTCCAGTCTGTGTATATTATGTACGGGGCGTCTTTCTTTGGTAACAGCAGTACCGTCCCTGCCTTGATGGCCTCCGGCAAGTCCTTTCTCGCCTGCTCCTCCTCTGTTCCCCACTTCCATGCTTGCCCCTCCCTCAGCAACTGATTCAGCCTGTATGCTCTCTTGCTGAAGTTGGGAATGAATCGCCTGTAGTAGTTCAGGAACCCCAGTAGTGCTCTCAATGCTCCCTTCTCTTTTGGTGCCCCCAGCTTGTCTAGCACAGCCACCTTAGCTTCTTGAATTCCCATCCTTCCGCCTTGCACTTCGAATCCCAGGTAAGTCACTGTCTTCCTCACTATCTTACACTTCTCCGGGTGACAGGTGAGCCCTGCCTCAGCTATGGCGTCCAATGTCGCTTTCAGGTGCTTGGCATGTTCTTCTTCACTCTTGCTGAAGATCACCACGTCGTCAATGTAGCACGCCGCTGTTGGCACTGTCTTCAACGCTTGATCCATGACCCTCTGGAATACAGCTGACGCATTCCTTAGTCTGAATGGCATTACATTCCATTCGTACAGGCCGTCCACTCCGTGAAAGGCGGTCTTGCATTTGTCTCCTTCCTTAATCCTTATTTGATTGAACCCCTGCCGCATATCCAGGGTTGAGAATATGACCGCGCCTTCGAGCTTGTCAAAGATCTCTTCTGCAATTGACATGCTGTATCAGTCCGCTTTCGTCACTCGATTGAGCTCCCTGTAGTCTCCGCACATTCTTCTTGCTAACACCTCTCCGGTCAGGTCGGTTCGAGCTGCCACCACTGTTACTGCTGCGTACGGTGAATTGGAAGGGCGTATGAGTCCCGCTACCAGCTGTTCTTAGCATTTGCTTCTGCAGATCTCCTCGTCTCCAGGACTCATCCGCCTTCTCCGCTGGTAGACCGACACTTCAGTGTCCAACGGCAGCTCTAATTCATGCAGGATGCACTTTCCCAGATCTTGCAGCGTGTAGGCAAACGTTTCGTGATGCTCTTGTAAAACTTGTCGGATTGCTGCTGCTACCTTGCTGTCAAGGTCAGGGCTCAGCTCCCACTCTTTCTCCTTCCCCTTCTCTGTCCCCCCCCCTTTTTTCTTTTTCTGCTGCCTTTTCTTGCTTTTCTCCCTACATCAAGTCTGCTCGGCTCGCTTGAGTCCGCCTCCTGCACTCTTCTGCCTGCTGCTGGATCGACTCCCTTTCTTGCCGCTGCTGCATTACTTCTTTCAGCAACCACTGCAGAGCGTGCTGATCCATCGCTCGGCCCAATGCGGCCCTGCGCTCCTGCTCCTTTACTCCTCGTGCTGCAGTTGCCCCCAGTATGTATCCCATAGCCAGCTCCCTCTCGTTTGCTGCTGGCTCCTCCCACTGCCCTCTCTCTCTATTGTAGACCATGCCCGGCCCGGGATCGCTTCCTTCTAACACAAACCCGCGGGCTCCCTCGTAGGACACTAGGGTAGGCCACGCCCTTCTTGGCTCGCCTATCTTGTTGCATTGTAGCTGCTTAGGGTGGTCTCTTTTCTCTACCGGGGCCGACGTTCTACCTGGCTCCAGTATGTCATCTACTAGGAGTCTTGTATCTCTCCTCAGATCGGCCAGTCCTTGTCTCAGCTTCTCTGTCTTCACTCCGTTTTGCCACTATCTTCTCACTCGATGAGCTCTTGCTCCGTTCAGCGCCGCATCCTAGCTTACGCCTGCCCCCAGCTCCGCTACCACCTTCTCTTGTGTTGCTCTTACGGGTTCCCACGGATCTCCTGTCATGTCTACATGTTCCACTACATAGCAGCACCTTGATCCCCCTTCCTGAATCCACTTCAACACCTGTAGTAGCTCGTCCAGCAATGCTGTGCGTGCATCTCCCATTCCTCTCCCTTTTCCCGCTCTAGAGGTGCCTTCGCACTCCCAGCCTGCCACCACTAGGTCTACTTGACCCCATCCCCAGACAGTTGCTTCATTCAGCTGTCGTACATCCCAAGTTCCTTCTCTCTTTGCCTCCTCAATCACGGCCTTACATATTTGCCCCGGTTACTTTTCCAGCAACTGGTCAGCATGATGCCAGGCCATGCGCCTGGCCTTTGGGTCTATCTCCACTAAAATCCACCTTTGCACCACCAATCCGACTTCCAGCGCAGCTGCCAATCCCGCTCCTATTCCCCCAAAGAGTTCTACGATCGTGATCGGCCCTTCGCCCAGCGTCACTACTTCCAGCTGTCCCCGCGTTCCCATTCCGCCTATCTCGGTTGGTTTCTTGCCCCCTACCATTCTCTCCTTCATCGCTGCTTGCTGCACCTCTGTGACTTGCAGGGCCTTTCTTGGCTCCATCTTCACAAAGCGCACAGGCAGCTCTCCCTGCGCCCCACCCTCCTTCCGGTATTCGGTCCTTAAGCTCTGCTTCTCTCCCCACGCATCAATTTGCGCCCCGATCTTATAGATCAACTCCATTCCCACCAGCAGGTCGTAATCATCGGACTCGGAGAGCCCGCACTGCACTCGGATCCTGGTTTCTTCTTTCTGTCCTGGCAGCAGCGCAACCTCTATCGGCTCCTTCGTGCTAGACATCCACTTGGGTGGTCCTCCCTCTGCCGTCATGATGAGCATTCCCTTAGTTACCGTCTCCAGCTTAAGCTTCCACAATCGCTCTGCTAGCTTTCTCCCCATCAGGACACTTTGAGCTCCGGTATCGATTATAGCATTGTCCACCTTCATTCCTTGTACTGCTATGGAGCCCGCTTCAGCCAGCAGCGCAGTCGTGTGGCACACCAGCCTATCTTCTGGGTGTCGATATGCTCGGTCTCCTCCTTCTTCCGGCTCTCTTCCTGGCTTCTTGCTCCGTGTCTCTGTCTTAAGTTCCTTCCTCCCATCCACCCCACCGCTCCGCAGTCCCAGGTCCGCTCTTTCCCGCTGTAGAGTCGCCACCAGGGCGTACTCGGACTCCTGGTCTTCTTCCTCCTCAACATCATCATCCTCCCAAGCTATCATTCCTTTCTCAGGGTCTTCGCTGATTTCTGCTTTCCCCAGCTGCGCCCTCAGCTTCTTGACTTCCTGCTCCAGCTCTTGCTCTCTCGTCGTTCTCCCCACTTGTCCTCCTCCTCTCCGATAACACTGGCTGTTGAGGTGTCCTTTCTTTCCGCACTCGCTGCAGGTGGGAGCTCTGGGACAGTTTCTCCTGAAGTGGCCCATCTGCCCGCAGTGGTCGCACGTGATGCCCAACACACAGTCCTTGCGCAGGTGGCCGACTTCTCCGAACTTGTGACAGCGGCGATCGTCCCTCATCCTCTCTCTCCTCTCTTCCTCTGGTCGCCGAGCTTCGGTTGCCGACCATACCGGTCTTCTCCGCTCTGGGGGTCGACGAGCTCCTCTCATCATGTCTACATAGCGTCTCCCCTCCTCAGCTTCTTTAGCTATCTGGTACACTTGCCTCAGCGTGGCCTTAGAACGAATTGGATAGAGAGCGATCCTTATTTCGTTGACTAATTCTTCATCTAATCCTTCTAAGAACTTGGTGACCATCAAACGGTCCTCCAAACAGTTGAGGTCTTCAGACAGCTCCACTAGCCGGTTGTAATAGGCCAGCAACGACTCGCTTTCCCTCTACGGAATTCACTAAATTCTGCTACTCGATCTGCTGGATCGCCTGGAAATTGCTCCTTGAGGATATCATAAAACCGATCTACGATCTTACGGGGCGGAATTTCTCCCTGCTCACACTCGCGCAGCAGCCTTGTCCTCTCCACTCGATAGTGGGTTTGCGCCTCTCCTCGGAGCGTCTTTCCCAGGCCTCTAAAGAACTCTATCGGATCTAGCCCCTCTCGATCCCAGCAATAGCGGATGTCATCTATCAGCATGATATAGGTTTTTAGCGACGGTTCTTCACCCGGCATGCCCGAAAATCTCTCTGGTACTTCTATCTTCGGGACATTCGCGGCTATTGACCGTCCGGTTTCCCACGAATTCACCCTCCCTCCTTCTCCTCCCGAATAACCTCCAGCCTTACGCACTTGCGTGGATCTGGGCCCGCACTCCCTTGGCGCCTCGCTCCGCCTCTGCTCCTCTTCTTTCTCCATCTTCTCTTGCTCGCGAAATCTCTCTCTGAGACCTGGCGTTCCTCCTCGCGAACTTCTTCCTGATTCTCTGCGACTTCGCGGATTTGGCGATCCGACGTCCTCCCCGGCTCCTTCTCTTGCCGCCGCAGAAGCATCTGCTTCACGTCCCTCGGGCTCATGCGGCCCAGCGCGGTACACAGGAACGAAGCGGTGGCTGCACGTCCTCCTGTACCTTCCGCGCCGGGTATCTGATCCCCGACCTCAAGCGATGTCCCTCAGGACTCGTCTCCCGACTCATCGCTGCCTGCGGTCTAACACGCTTTACCGCAGTTCGTCCTCGTCCAGCCGCTAGTTAGATCACTTCCTCAGCGGTCGCTCTGGTGCTTTTCGCTTGTATGTTACAAGCCGCACGACGCCTGCTCAGATCTACTTAGGATCGAATTCCAACACTGCTGAACTCTAGTAGGATTAGAGCGAATTTGCACTATTGAAGGAAAACATACAAGCGAAAAGCGATCATCGTACTAAGTTGCCTACTATTTACACGTCCAGTTTCCTCTGCTTTGTCATTCCCTCTTCTCCTTCTTCCCTTGAGAACTGAGATTGCGCTTGACCCCCTTTTCCGTCAGATTGGGCCCCTGCTGACGCCCTCCACCTCATTTTGGTTCGCGCCTCGGTCCTCCGACATTTCTGTCTCTCCACCCTCGATTTGCTGTATCGCTGAATTGGTACAGTGCCGTACTGTACCTTCTTCCATATCACCTTACTTTTCTGTTATTCCTACCGATTCACCCCAAGTCTTCTTCTTTGATTCCTCTCTTCCTCAACCCACTCCTCCCTTGCTGCTGTGTTAACCATGGGAAGCCCATCTCTTCCCATGGGTAACGCGACAGTATATCTACGGTGGAAATCAACTTTGCAAACTGGGCCCAGTTTGATTCATGCAGTTTCGGCCGTTGGATCGGGCTTGCCAAACCCAACTCCCATAAATCCCTGCTCTCGCGAGGTTACAAATTGGGACTTAATATGTGTCCCTGAGTCTCAGCCGTCAGATCCGCGTTTGCCCAACTTGAACCCCCCCCAAATCAATCTGGGCCCAGTTTGCATACGAAATCCCGCGTGAAGCAACAGAATCACATTTTTTCGCACCCAGTGAAACAATTGTCTTTTCCACCCGCCCAGCCCAAATTCTGCCCGTTGACTTGTGTGAACTAATTTGGGATCTGAGCTCTAAGTCTGTAGGATGGCAATCGATAGGAAGAGACAAGGGCAGCAAGCTGAGGCAATGCATACCCAACCCCACAAGCATTGCTTACCACGCTCGACTGATTTCTTCCTTTAAAGCCATCCATTCTTCCCTCCCTTACCCACACCCTTTTCATCACTGCCAACCACCCGCTTTGGCGCAACGCCGTCCGGTCCATCGCGCGCGCGGGGACCAGCTATGTGCCTCCAAAGCGCGACTACGTGGGTGGTGCCGGCTTGCAGCTATGCCGCAAGCGGATTGACGAGGGATTGACGGGCGTCATGTCGAGCTGGAAGCGCCACGGCGTGACGATTGCCAGCGACATGATGACCGACAAGTGTGGCAGGCCGCAGGCGAATGTGATGCTGGTCAATGACACCGGCGCAGTGTTAGTCGAGAGTATTGACTGCAAGATGGAGAAAAAGACCGGGGGATACATCGCCCGGCTCCTCCGGCCCATCCTGCAAAAGGTTGGGGTCGAGAACATAGTGGCATTCTGCACCGATGGCGGCAGCAACTACCACAGCGCCTGCCAGCTCCTCATTGCAGAGAATCCGCGCATCGAGCATGTGCCGTGTGCGACGCACGTGCTCGACCTCCTTATGGAGGATGTGGGACGGCAGGCTTGGGCCAAGGAGGTAGTGGAGCGAGCGAGCGAGCTCATCAACTACACCCGCAGCCACCATTGGACCCGACAGTATCTCAGGGGTGTGGACGGAGGGAAGGGGCTGCAGATGTTAAGGCCGGCGGGGACCAGGTTTGGGACGCAGCACATTGCTGTGTCCCGCCTGGTGGAGTTGCGGTCAACGCTGGTGACCATGGTGCTCTGCGATGCATGGAAGGCGGAGTGGGCGGTGGGCCCAAAGAAGGCAGCTGCAGAGACATTCCACGACCAGATCATGGATAAGGACTGGTGGCCATCGGCTGAGCTCTTCAAGAGGCTGCTCCTGCTCCCGTTCAAGGCCATGAGGGCGACGGATTCGGCAACGAAAGGGATGATGGGCCGCATCTATGAGCTGATGCTTGAGCTCACTGTGAATGTGGCAGAACTGCTGAAGGAGGAGGGGGATGGGGTGCTGAGTGCGGGAGACAAGAAGGGCGTCAATGAGATTGTGAAGCGGCGTTGGGATGAGAGTATGGCTTGCCCACTGCACGTGGTCGGGCGGATTCTTAACCCGGTCAACCAGGAGGAGCGGATTTTTGGGCCGGACACGGAGTGCACCAATGTGTTCAAAGCTTTCATTGCCCGCCACTATGGCGGGGTGATGATTCCCCAGAGGGATGGCCTGCCCAAGCGTGCCACACTCCTCTTGCAGGAAGGGTTGGCCGCCTTTCTGAAGTTGAGGGGCAGCTTCGGCACGGCTGAGGCCATCTGTGACCGGAAGTTGGTGAAGGAAGGAAGTTATTCCATGGAGGCGTGGTGGGAGTGGCACGGCACTGACCACCCCTTGCTCATGGCTCTTGCTTGCCGAGTGCTAACTCAGCCGGTGTCTGCATCCAGCTGCGAGCGCAACTGGGCGGTGTGGGATACTGTCCACACCGCCCGACGCAACCGGCTGGGTTCAGAAAAGTGCAAGGATCTGGTTTACGTTGCGCACAACTGGAAGGTTGTGCACAACTGGCACATGGCCGACGAGGGGGCGGGGGTGGTGTCCGGTAACATCCCGGACGCCCCCGTCCCTGCGCGGTACAGGGTGGATCGGGAGGAGGAGGATGAGGAGGGCGAAGATGAGGAGCTGCTGGACGAGTACCGGTAGAGCAGAGCAGGAGAGGGTTAGGCGGGCGGTTTGGGGGAGGCTTACCTGAGATGGGTGGTTGGCTGGTTGTTGGAGTTTGGAACCCTTGACATGCCCTTGGTGGCTTGAACTATTTATTTATTACCATGCTAAATGATGCCACATTTGGTGGGGGGAATTTGGTGCTCTGAACCCCCCCTCTTCCCTCCCCAAACAGGTTTTTTTACCCCTGCCCGAGTTGTTTTTATACCTGCCCGCCAGAGCGTATTTCCTACCGTATCCAATCCCATAATGAAGCGTACAGCGTATATACGCTAGCGTATAATACGCTTGCGTATAATACGCTGGACGCGTATTTCTCCACTTAGCATCACCCCACAAACCCTCCCCCCCATCCCCCCCCCCCCCTCAACCTCTCCCTCCTCCTCGCCCCCCCACGCAGCATTGCCCCCCCCCGGGACGCTGCAGTGCCCCCTTATCCTTCCCCCCTCACCCAGCGCTGTCGGCAGTACACTTGGCAGTGAGGTTGCTAGCGTCCCCCAAACAGGCTGCAGAGTTTGAGGCGCCTCAAAACTATACTCTCCCTCACCCCCCTTCCCTCCCCCCACCCCCCCCCCTCTCCTGTGCACCCAACAGTCTCAGCAGTGCACTTAGCAGTGAGGTTGTTGGCCTCCCCAGGTAAAGCCACGGTTCAGAGTATGCTGCAGCGATTTCTCCCTCCTGCTCCTCCCCCCCCCTCCTCCTGTGCGCACCCACCAGTCTCAGCAGTGCACTTGGCAGAGAGGTTGCTCGCATCCCCCAGGTACGCTGCAGTGCCCCCCGGCTTCTTTCCCTCTGACGCCTGGCTCACTGCCTTGAGCAGGTACCGCGCCACCTGCCATGGGGCACATGGCACACATGGGACACATGGGGCACATGGGACACATGGGACACATTAAACACATCACACACATGGATGGCACACATGGGAAATATGCAAGTACACGTGAAAGGGGAGGACAGGGGAGGACAGGAAAGGGCAGGGGAGGACAGGGGAGGACAGGGGAGGGCAGGGGAGGACAGGGGAGGTTCAGCAGAAACAGCGGGGTGAGAATCAGGGAGAGGAGGCATTGGGGGGAAGTGCATCCGACAAGTTGTTCGCGGGGGGGGGGGGGGGGGGGCATTTTTGCACAGTTCTGCACGTTTTTCACAATTGTACAGTCACAGGAGACCACACGCGTTCCAGCAATCCAGGACAGGAAAGTTCAGAAGGCCCCCCCCCCCCTCCCCCCCGTGTCCCCCCATTCCCCACTCTCCTTCTTTCCACAATCGTCACCTGCAGCAGCAGCACAGTGTTGTCGCCCTCATACGTGCACGTGGGCACAAAGGCAGCATAGAGCTGGGGCAGAGCAGAGAAGAGCGAATACCCGTGGCCCCCACACAGCTTGCGGGACTCCTCTATGCCCTCCTGCCATGGGGAGCGAGGGAGGATGGCGGGTGGGAACGTTTGTTGAGCAGATCGAAAGACGGCTTGCGACACTCCTCCATGCTATCCTGCCATGGGGCATGGGGGCATGGGGGCATGGGGGCATGGGGGCATGGGGGCATGGGGGCATGGGGGCATGGGGGCAAGGGGGCATGGGGGGATGGGTCATGGATGGTGGGGAGGATGGACGAGAAGGGTGGGCAACGGAACCGATGGGGGGTAGTGGGGGTGAGAGCTCACTTGAGGTGGAGAAAGTGTGCGTGGGGCCGTATGGGCGAGAGGGCAAGAGTGCCTTACGCCGGGGGGTGCCAGCCCGGACCTCTGGCATCCATCCGCCCTTATCCCCAACCTCCCATCCATGCCACAATGATCCCCAACCCCTGAACCCCGAATCTGCACCCCTGTTTCCCCCTCACCGCGGTGGCAGCGGTGGTGAGCGCCTTGAGCCCAGCAGTAGCAGCGTGGACCTCGGGCAGCGTGGAGTAGTCGCCGCGGTTGATGCGCGCCACCACGTCGCTGTACAGGTCCGCCATCCACTTGCCCGCGAACAGGAACGCGTACGCCGACGCGATCAGGGGGAGTAGGCGCATCTGCTGGGTCTGGTAGTCCATCACCTGCGAGGAGGGAGGGTAGGTAGGATGGATGGAGCGCGGGGGACGAGAGGGTGTGGAGTCGAGGGGATACCTGGGCCACTTGCCCCTGAACAGGAACGCGTACAGCTCCACCATCCACTTGCCAGGGAGGAGATTTAGGGAAGGGGGAATGTGGTGTGGTGGGGAGGAGAGGAGGAGGGAGCGGGGGAGAATATTAAGCCTTGAGGGTGGCGACGTGAGGAGGCAGTGGGGCAGAAAAGAGGGTGGCAAGGGGATGCGGGGTCTGCGTGCTGTGTCTGCTTCTGCTCTAGAGGCACTGTCTGTCTGCCCTCATCACAACCCTCACCCCACACTGACCTGCTCTCCCCCACACCACAATCTCCCCCCCCCCCCCCTTTCCTGCGCACCTTGCTCTCCTGCCCCCCGTTCAGCACTGCCAGACTGGCCCCTGCGGCGCTGCCCTTCCCTCCCTCCCTCCCCCCCAACCCCCCCACCCCCCTCTGCGCACCTTGCTCTCCTGCCCGCCCTCAGCGCTGCCAAACTGCCGGCGCACGCACGAGTAGCGCGCGGCAATGGTGACGGCGCGGCCCAACGCCACGCCCGACTCCATCACAATGCTGCGCCGCACAAACACCATCGCGCCGTACGCCAGCTGCCGCGCCGCCGCACTGCCCCGGTGGTAGTCGCCGCTGCGGTCCACGCTCGCGTACCTGGCGCGGGTGTAGGGTATCCGAATGAAAGAGACGACACAACGGATGGATGGAAGGACCATTAGACAGTTGAGCGGATGCATGCGCACGCATTCTTGCAGGAGAAAGGGAGGGAGAGAGGGAGGGATGGAGAGAGGGAGGAAAGAGAGAAGGTGGGAGGGAGAGAGGGAGAGAGGGAAGCAAGGAGGGAGGGAGAGACGGAGCAAGGGAGGGAAGGAGGGAGCGCACTGACCGCATGAGCATGTTGGAGCGGGGGATGCGCACGTGGTTGAAAGCGAGGAAGCCGTTGTCCATGGTGTTGTACCCCATGTTGCCGAACTTGGGCCCGATGTCCCCCACCGACACCCCGGGCAGCGGCTTGTGGTCCTCCAGGCTGCGAATGGGCACCAGGAAGGCTGGGGGGGAGAAGGGGACGGGAGGGAAGGGGAGGGAAGGGGAGGCATGGAAAATAGGTACGAGATTAAGTAGGTAGCAAGGCACGGTCAGTAAGGTTGGTAGGCAAGAAAAGGGAGATACGGAGGTAGCGATTAATAAGGAAATCATTACAGCGCGCCCATCCCAATCCCTCCATCATTCTTTTCAGCTCCTCTCGTTCCAGGTCAACCAAGCCCTCACTCACTGACCTCCCGCCTCCCCATCGCCATCCCCAGACCAGCTTTGCCCGCCCCTCACCGTGCACGCCGTGGTCCTTGCCCTTGCTGATGAGCCGTGCATACACCACGGCGTGGTTGGATGCCTTACCCAGCCCGCCAGGCCACCACTGGGAAAGGGAAGAGAGGGAAGGGAGGGAAGGGAGGGGAGGGAGGGAAGGGAGGGAAGGGAGGGAAGGGAGGGAAGGGAGGGAAGGGAGGGAAGGGAGGGAAGGGAGGGAAGGGAGGGAAGGGAGGGAAGGGAGGGAAGGGAGGGAAGGGAGGGAAGGGAGGGAAGGGAGGGAAGGGAAGGGAGGGAAGGGAGGGAAGGGAGGGAAGGGAGGGAAGGGAGGGAAGGGAGGGAAGGGAGGGAAGGGAGGGAAGGGAGGGAAGGGAGGGAAGGGAGGGAAGGGAGGGAAGGGAGGGAAGGGAGGGAAGGGAGGGAAGTGGCACGGCAACAGGTGAGCGGGGGATGTAAGGATTGTGGGATCGGGTGGGATCCGAGAATCGGGTGGAGCCTGAGAGGTGGAGCAGTCAAATGATTCCAAGACCTTCAAACGAACACACAAAGAGCTGCTTAGACAGATCAACGCAGGTATCGGAAATGAACAATTAAGTGAGGCACGGCACGGCACCTCACAGCAGAGCAAGCAGCGGCGCACCTTGGTGGCGGTGATGGTGGGCGTGTGCACGTCCCACTGGTCCGTCTCCGGGACATAAGTGGCCGTGGTTTCCAGCCCCTGCACGTTGCTGCCGTGCCCCAGCTCCGTCTGCGCGTAGCACCCGATCCACTCAAACGCCCGCGCCCTCGGCAGCCACGCGCGCCCCTGCTCGTCCGTGCCCTGCCCCTCTATAGCGGGGATGAACATGTACTGGGGGGGAGGGGGAGGGGATGGGGCACGGGAGTGGGATCGGAGGGGCGTGGAATCGGAGGGGCGTGGGATGAGCGGGGCGTGGGAGGAGTGGGGCGCGGGAGAGCACATGTTCAGGGCGGTGGCGGGTGGGGTAGAGAGGCGGAGCGTGAGGGTGGAATGTGAAGGGAAGAGGGGGTGATGGGATGAGGAGAAGGCCGACGAACCTCTGCAGCCCAGGTGCTCCCGCCCACAAAGGAGGCGGAAGAGAGGTGCCCCGGGGATTGAGTGGTGCAGAGGTCGATGAAGGGGTCGGAGAAGGGAAGATAGGTAGTGAGAGTGGGAGGTGCGGAGGGAGCGTGAAGAGAGTTACCGAGTGCAGGTCGGAGAAGTTGATATCGTCCACCATGAGCTTGAACAGGTACCGCTCCTCGTCTGCACTCACACGCTCACAACACCAATCACGGCACACAAGGACACATGGAAGCTGGCTTCTGAACAGGCTCAGATGACACGGCAGTGGCACGGCCTAAATCCCGCACCCCGAGAGCCAACCACAGCCCAACACACAGCTAAGCACAGCCAAGGACACAGCAGGGAGGGCGCAGCACGCACCGTTGAGGCCGAGCTCTCTGACGCGCTTGATCATGTGCGCCGCCTTCTGCAGCGACCGCTTCATCGCCTGCGGCCGCGTCAAATGCGAGCCGTCCGTGCGGGAAAACACCTGCGGGAGGGGGAAACAACAGAGAACCACGGTTAACTACTGAGAACCACGGAGAACCACGGCCCCGACAACGAGGACAGGGGGAGGGTTGGTGTTGGGGGTGAGGCGGGTTGGGGACAGGGCAAATAGGCGTGTGGTCGATAGGCGACGGGGGAAGCAGCGAGTGGGACGATCGGGCGAGCAAAGGAGGCTGTAACCACCCATTGAGAGGAAATGTTATTTAATGCCCGCATCCACCTTCTTCACTCCCTCCTAACCTAGCCCTCGTTACAAGATCGACCTTCCACTCAAAGCATCTCCCCCTCCCCTTCTCTACCCCCTTTCCCCCTCCCCCTTTTGCCCCCCCTACCCTCCCTCTCCTCTCTCTCCCCTCCTCATCGCCCCTCCCTCCTTCTCCCTCCCCACCCTCCTCCCTTTTCCCCTCCCCTTCCCCACTTCCCCCCCACTCACCGGGTCCTGCGCGACGAGCTGCGCCATGCGCTTGAGGCGGCCCACGCGCTCCTGGCCGTTCCACACCACACCGCTCATCTCGCTCACGTCGAACGCTGCTCGCACCGCCACCGGGAATGCCGGGGGGGGGGAGGGGGGGAAGGGGAAGGGGAAGGGGAAGGGGAAGGGGGAGAGGGAATGAGGAGAGGGGAGAACGAGGAGGTAGGTGCGGGGATCCGATGCAGGGATGAGGGAAGGGATAAGAAGGGGGGATAGGATGCTTAAATAGGAGAGGCGAAAATGTGGGGGTAGGGGGGAGGGGGAGGGAGCATGAAACGCTTTGGCTTTTTGTTGGGAGGAGCGACGAATGCAGGCGATGCGCTGGCTTCGGGTCAACGCCGGGAGGCGAAGCTTCACGATCGCGGGCATGCATGCATGCATGCACTGGCATTGGAACAGGCGATCGCCAGGCGAACGTTACGGATCGCAGACGAAGCGACGAAGCGACGAAACGGCAGCAGGGCCTGGTTGCCTGTGAGAAGCGACGGCTCTGCGAAAATAGCTGAACGTGTCCTCCTGGCGTACTTCTGCTTAGAGGCCACATGGAAAATCTATACTAAATGGGTAGAATCTTATGTTCTTCTGACAAGGTACAACGGAGCGAATCTTATTTTACGGCATGAGAAACCGTCAGCGACTGCGATCCGGTCCGAGGTAACCAGGGAAGTAGCGACGGGTTACTAGTTCTTACTTGCATTCGCGCGTTCGTCAGCCAGGTGATCCATGATGCTGGGAAGAAGCTGGACAAAATCCCTTAGTTGCCTGATAGGGTCCTGACGAAGGTGAAGTCACAGCAGCCGATCAAACCAGTCGAACGGCGGTCGTCCCACGTTACGAGGAGCGAATCTCAACAACGGAAACTGAATCAGCAAAATGCACCACGAGCGGCAGAAGCAAAGCCAGAGGATCACTGCTGGTCTGGACTCTGGACTGATAGAGAGAGCTCACTGCGGGTTTCTCTGGTTGGAGTTGAGGGAGACGGGAAGCAATGGAGGATGGACCAAATCTGCTCTTGGGAGTGGGTCCAACAGAGCAGTGAACGGAGAGAGTCATGACCCGAGACCTACTTTAGTTGTGGCGACGTGAAAGGGGTATAATGTCGTGCATGAACAGATTCGCAAGGGTAAACATGAAACATCTTCAGGCTATTGGCTAGAACGTGATGGAAAGGCATCACTCGAGCAGCTTGAGTTTTGTGCAATATGTTATCGACTTGCAGTAAAGTGAATGTACACGTAGCTATTTCAAGGTAATCCTTCTCGAGATTCTAGTTTCAAGGGGTGCCCGTTCTGTCATGGCGTGAGGACCGAGGTGTCCCTACCACCTTTCCTAGGTCCTGAGGCCGCGTCCGTAAAAAGGATATGCCATTTTACCAGGGTCACACGTTTCGAGTTGACCCCCGTCAACATTGTTTACAGAGTGTCAAAATTCACCAGCACCTAACAACCAATCAAACTCATCGAGCCTGAACTGACGAATTGTAGATTTCTCGCCAGCTAACCAAAATCGTCGCTACGACGTAGTTGAGCATTTGCTCTCGCCCAATCAACGAAATGCCAGCAAAATATCTGCACATGCAATGGTCTAGTTTCCCCGCCAAACTATCGTGCGCGGAATACCTAGCGGTGTTCGCCAATAAAAAATATTCGTCAATTTTCGTGCACGCGATTCAGTTTGACACCGCAGCTACAGATTTTGACCCCCCAAACTTGGGCACGCTCCGGTTTGACACTGCTGAACTGACATGTCATTTCTACGGACACCTCTTGATCGCCCCTTCATATTGGGCAGTTGCAGCCTAAGATCCTTTCTGTGCTCCTTGATGTTGTGAATTCATTGTGGCTGGCGACCTTTTCCTCACCGACCGCGACCCGAGAGGAGGACATGCAGCGCTGGAACGTAGGCTCCATGTCGTGGCACTTGCAGTGTCATTCCAACCAATCATGGACGTTGCCTCCAGGGGTGTGTGCCACCATGATTGGAGGATGGATCTTACGTTGAAGTCCCGAGAATTGCACGGATGACAAGTGCTTGTAGTCTAGTGTGGTGGTGGTGGTGTGATGTCCAGCACAAGATGAGAGAACTTGCGGAAAACCTGATGGTGTGAACCAAGGCCTCCAGCTGACGCCAGCAAGAGCAGGTGGAACCAGCGCAGGGCTTCTCTTGTCTCTCCTACAAGCTGCTTTACCTGTTGGATACAAGCCAAGGAAAGCGCGTTTGAAAGGCAGTGGTTTAGAAAAACAATTCGTATTTGTATTAAACAATTTAAGGTACTGCATTCACGAAATCGAGGAACCCAGGGGAATTTCTTATAATCATGCATGAGAATTCATAATCAGTGATGCTCAACTATGCTTTATGCGTATTGATTTTTTTGCACGTACTGTTTTCATGAAATGCTATTAATTCATGCACTCATGAGATTTATGTCATTATTTTTCCTATTTATTCTCGTCAAAACATTTCGAATTTCGACTTAACTTTTATAAAACTGATACTGGTATGGAAGTAGTATGAAAGCTGACGTTATACTGATTAGGGGTGGTAAACTAATCCCACAAATGCACAAGAGCCGTTGCCCCTGACACTCAGGGCAGCGACGGCTCAATCGGGCCACATCACATCACAGCTTGGCACTTCCCCCCCAACCCCCCGCTCGCTCTCCCCCGAGCATCCCGAGCCTCCGCTCCGCTCCCTCCGAGTTCCCCCTTCCGCCGATCGTCTGTCTCGTGCGCATCATGTGCCGTGCATCACCTCAGCAGCACCAGCACGACGCTGAGGAGCAAGCAAGCACTGCGCCAGCATGTCAAGCTAGTCTATCAATTTCCTGATCCTGCTCGAATTTTCTCTTCTCGCCCTCCACTCACGCCAGCTCTTCACCCTCCGTTTCTTTCGCGCTTCGTTCACTCTCTGTTGTCATTATGACGGCCCAGGAAGTCGAAGGTAGGTGCCGTACCATCCTGTCTAGAGGCGGGTCCCTACTACTGAAAGTCCGATGAAAGTTAGGGCAGGGAGGTCTAGCATGGACCCTCCGGAGCGTCCAATTACAAACGTTCACAAACGTCCTTTCTGTTGACCTCCGCGAGCGCGATCCACGCTCACCACTAGAGGAATATTTTCCGCGACAGCCAGGGTCCTTTCTTCATCAATCACTCTTAACGGGTGTAATTCTCGGGACATCAATTTACTCAGCCAAATTCGCTTTTAATTTCACCTCTCGTTGCGCCCGACTGCCCCCGACTGCGCCCGACTTCTCCCGACTGCTCCCGACTGCCCCCGACTGCCCCCGACTGCGCCCGACTGCCCCCGACTGCGCCCGACTACCCCCGACTACCCCCGACTACCTCCGACTGCCCCCGACTCTGCCCGACTGCCTGTCTCCGCCTCTGCAGGTGGTCTGGCGGAGCTGAAGCTGAAGGAGCAGGAGGCGGACGCGGCTGCGGCGGCGGCGGCGGCCAAGGAGGGGATGACGGTGGAGGACAAGGAGGAGGACGAGGAGGACGACGAGGAGGACGATGATGAGGACGACGACGAGCATGGCGACGGGGAGGGCGATGCTGCTGGCAGCAACAGGAAGGGCAAGCAGGTACGCACCTCTCCGCAGGGGATCGCAGGAAATCCATGGCTCACTCACACACACACGTCCCTGGGGTCATGTGCTTTTCTCGCTGCTGCAGCCTCCTCGTCCGTACTGACCCCTCTCCGCCCCACTCTTCCCTCCCCCTCCCCCCCCCCCCGCCCCTCCTCTTCCACCAAGCTTGACTACCTGTTACTCCGCATCTGTCCTTCACCCCGTAGCCTCCCCACCCCCCCCCTTCCTCAAGCTTGTGGCCCTAATACTCCCACCTGTCCTTACTCCGTAGCCTCCCCAATAACTAGCTGCTATCCGTCGCTCAGTGAAATCCACGTGCCCCGTGCCCGCGCTGGATCCGCGCAGAGCCGCAGCGAGAAGAAGGCGCGCAAGGCGATGCAGAAGCTGGGGCTGAAGCAGCTCACGGGCGTGTCGCGCGTGACCATCAAGCAGAGCAAGAGCACGCTCTTCGCCATCTCGCGCCCCGACGTGTTTAAGAGCCCCGCATCCGACACGTACATCATCTTCGGCGAGATCGAGGACCTGAGCGCGCACGTGCAGTCGCAAGCGGCGGAGCAGGTGAGTCGGAGGGCGGAGGGTTCGGCCTTGCAGGCGAGTCTAAGTTCACTCAGTTCAATGCAGCTTTGGTAGGGTATGGCCTTGCAGGGTGTAGCAGTTGCAAGTTAAGCCGACATCCTGATTTGCAGCTATCCGCAACTCGTTCCCCGGCTTATTCCTTGGACCTCTTCCTGATGGCACCTGCTGCTCCCCATCCCTCCCTCCCCCCCCCTCCCCTCTCCCGCTCCTTCCTCCTCCCTTCCGTTCCCGCCCTCCCCACTCTCTTCCCCCCGCAGTTTAAAGTGCCCGATTTCGCAGTTCCCACAAAGGTCGCGGAGGGCGAGGCGGCGGTGGAGACGGAGGAGGAGGACGTGGATGCCACGGGCGTGGAGGAGAAGGACATCGAGCTCGTCATGACACAGGCGGGCGTCTCGCGCGGCAAGGCGATTTCCGCGCTGAAATCCACTAGTGGAGACATTGTTGATGCAATCATGCGGCTCACAACGTGAGGTCACGGCGCCTTGGAAGGAGGGAGATTGTATGATGTGGATTGGAGTGAGGAGCAGGTTCCTGTTTTAGGATAAATGGTAGCAGTGCAATGTGATGTTGGAGTAAACCACTTGTTTAGGGTGGTCAGGAGGAACCAAGTCAGCGAAAGACTTCGAAACCTTGCGAATCCGACTCTAAATACAAGCGGTACTAATAAATAACGTAAAGGCGTTTTCGCACAGGACAGTGTCCAGTACCAGCAAACCCGAAATCGAGTCTGAAACGCGATGCGGTGAGGTGCGAGGGTCGAAACGCGAATTCCTGTGCGGTTCAATTTGATAGTTCGCTAAGTCGGGTTTGCTGGTACTGAACACTGCCTTGTAGAAGGTACTTATTCAGGGTGTACCTATGTCAACAAACATAATTATATATGCTAGTTAGTTTATATTCGTAATAGCCTTAATTAGGTCAGTTCTTAGAGGGTACATTCCTACCTTTGAAACCAGGGATAACGTTTGAAAAAAAGGCACTCTGATTTTGCCCCCCAATTTTTTTCCCGAGTTTGAAGGGTCTTAAAAAAAATAAAAAAAATCGCTACAATGAAATCTCTTTGTCGAAGAGTCAACGGGTCTGAAATACTCAGGGTTCAGAATGTCAACTATGTTGTGATATAATTGATATTGTTGGGCTGAGAAAAGCCCTTGGGATCTTTTCCAGAGACTAAGTCCCAGTTGAAGAATGAGACTTGAGTAGTGCAGCGGAAGTTGAGTAGTTGAACCCTTGTACTAGTATATGAGAACAAGTGATTGATTAAAGAAACAAGCATATAGCAATATATAGAAAATATAAAAGTACAGCAGTTGTAGAATACAGTTGCAGGAGCGGTTATCGAGTCGCACAGCGACTCGATTGTCGCTTCGGTTACCATCCGCGCTGTTGTAACGGTCAATCGCAACCTCCAGTTGCGACTCTTCAAGTCCCTTCGCGTTCTTTGCACACGCCCTCGTGTAACCTCAGTTGACTCGCGTACCCGTTGCGATCTTCCTCGAGTGTAGTGTTACACTTCAGAAACGCTTAAGTCCTTTGAGACATTTCCAACAGATATGTTGGACAAGGACACCTGCGCATTCAACACAGAGCAACGGAGGAAACATGGGATTAGCGCCGATGAGCCTCGACAATTCATCGTTCGGGCGACACAATCAAGCGCCTACCTTTGCATCTTATCACTCTTCACCGGGGACGTTCGAGTTCATGCCGCCCCGTGCCCAACCAACAGCAACTGCATCACAACAAACACCAAACGAGATTTTAAGTCTCCAGGCGCAGTTTTCACAAGTGATTAAACTGCAGACATCATCACCATTCAACGGACACGATTTCTTTACCTGGAGTTTTGAGTTCGAGCTGCTGATGGAGGTTGCACATCTCCTGGGATACTTCAATGGGTCCCTGCCATTCCCAAGCAACGGCACTGCAAAGGAGCAAGAAATATTTACTTATCAGTCGCTGCTGGCGTACACAGTTCTCCTGCGGAACCTGTCACCACAAGAACAGCAGAGCATCAGAACATATCGGAGCTATGGAAACTCCGCGGAACTCGCATGGCATCATCTCAAGTGTCTCTATCGAGCAAACGACAGCGTGACACAAAGCAGACTCATGCAACAACTGACAACAATACAGATGAAGACAGGGGAAAAGGCGATGCAGTATATGAGTCGCTGCAAGACCCTCCGCGACCGCCTGCTTCGGTGCGGAGGAACAATCACTGAGGAAAGCTTCGTGACGCTTGTCCTCGCCGGGCTCGGACCAGAATGGAAAACCACACGCTCGCTTGTTCGCGCCCACGGAAGAATCTCAGAGATGCACCTCTGCGCCGAGCTTCACGCTGAACAACAGGAGATGGACCTGTTCGAAGAACAACAACCAAAGAAGCAGCAGTAGTTAGTTTTCTACACTCAACGAAGGAACGACAACAACTACAATCGACGCGGCAAGCAAGATCAACGCGACAACAGAGGACTCACTTTCGTGCCGCCGTTCTACCACAACTGTCAGACTTCTAGACATTCCAAAGTCAACTGCACATGTCCTCGTGTTTATCGTCCAGTAGACCCACACGTCGCCTCCACTCAAGAAAGCCTTCCAAGGCGCTCTTCCACATCTGCACAAGGGACACGGAACATCATCAACTGCATGGTACACATCGACAACCGCGCACCCGGATCACCACCCACTTACGCACCAGACGAAGAAGAACTTCCGCCGCCGCGCTCACAAGGACTTCAAGTCAACCCGACATACGCTGCGGTCGCCAACGCCGAACCCACCGGGCGAAACACCTGGTTCTTGGACAGCTGCTGCGGTCAACACATGTGTTCTTCCGGACGCTTCGTGCAACGAGAGCGACGCCTCAACCGCGACGTCATCATCACCGTCGCCAACAACGAGAACCTGAAAACAAACAGACAAGGAGTGGTTCAATTACAATCCATGGAGACGAACGTTATACTTCAACTCAACAAGGTCCTCATCGTCGACAACTTGGGATACAACTTACTAAGCGCCAGCCAGCTAATGGCAAAAGAGATTCACCTGGAGTGCGACTCCTACTCCAACGAGTTTCGCCTTTACAACGGGAAGGGCGATCTCTTCATCGATCGTGCTCTCCTGAAGTCCGATGTCTTCGTGTTAGACTTCGTCCCCGACCGCGGTACTGCCGACAGCGACGGAATCGTGTCGTTCGCCGCCTGGACACACCCGCCGGATCTTGACCCCGACTTTGACCCGGATGGATTCTGGCACTCCAACACCATACCTGCAGCAGAGAGAACACGAGCATTAGCAGTCATCAGACAAGAAAGACAAGTACCAGCAAGTGTCCCTTCCCAACCATCACCTGCAGTAGCCGCAGCAGAACAAAGAGTACCACCACCAGCGATCCGAGGACCACCAACCGAAGCAGATCAACTTATGCCCATCACACGAGAAGTCTGTCGAAGTCCCGCCACAGTCGTCGCGTTCTTCTCCAACACCGACATATACCACCGTTCGCCCGGCCATCGCGCTCCCGACGACATCTGGCACCAACGACTCGGGCACTCTGCAAACAGTACAATACTGCAAACCATCCAAGCCGAAGTGTTAGAACGCAACGCTCTCCTAACAACGAGCGGCCAAGAACTTCGACGACCACGCGCACGGTGCTCTACGTGCCCCGAAGCCGATCTTCCTCACCAACCTTTCCCATCTTATCACAACCCAAGCGCACCTGCATACGCACCGATGGAAAAAGTCTACAGCGACATTTTAAACATGCCTCGAGAAGACACTGAAGCCGACTTCAACTATGTCATCACGTTTATCGACGCAGCAACAAGATACGTCTGGCACTACAACCTCAAGACACGCGATCAAGCCTTCGACGCCTTCATGACATGGCTACCCATCGCCGAACGAGAATCAGGAACCAAGCTCAAGAGCTTCCAGTCAGACGGTGCACTGGAATACTAGTCACAACGCTTCAGGACCTATCTGGCGGAAAGAGGAATCAGACGCCTGGTGTCTCTGCCCTACGCTCACCAGCAGCAGGGGGTCGCAGAACGCATGAACCGGACCTTGCAGACGACGATGTGAAAGTTGCTCCTGGGGATGAGACTGCCCACCACACTGTGGCCAGACGCGATGACACATGCAGTCCACCTGCACAACCTGCTGTCCTCGTCATCGCTTCCCAACAACGCATCACCGCACCTGCTGTGGACACAAAAAAGGGCAGCACAAAATTACTTCGAGTTTTCGGCTGCATGGTACAGTACATACCTCACACAACCCGAGCAGGACGCTTCACTCAACGAGCTCGGTGGGGACTACACCTCGGCATCGCAAAACATTTTCACGCATGGAAAATCCTCGACATACAAGACAAAAATACAGTGGCATCACGTGATGTTATCTTCTACGAGCGACTGACGCTGCAGCATTACCTGGACAACATTGCCAACACACACGACCCCACCGACGGCTTCGCGGGCCTTCGTTCCTTCGCCGACCGTGCTGTCGAGGCTGACGCAGCAGAAGAAGACGTACCTGGAGCCTCGGAAGCTGCCGGACCAATCCCTTTCTGTTCCGTACCTGTTCCACTCGACGAAGACAATCCTCTCGATAGTAACAACCTCGACACCTTTTACCACTTCGCTGACCAAGGTTACACTACACCCCACCCGGTCGACACAAATGTTTCAGAACGCATCGGCCCCAACTTCTTACCTGATCCAGAAGACGGTGACGAAGCAGCCTATTCCGGGAATGAAAATTCCCCTCGACACACACCCACGGGACTGCAGATCCTCGGCCTATGGGTCTCCGTCCAGCATCCACCGCCGCCATCTCCGCGCGAGCCCTCGACTCTCTCGCAGGCTCTGGGGGGGGAACATAAGACGAAATGGAAGGAGGCGATGGAAAGGGAACTAAAGGCTCTGCAAGACCGAAATACATGGAAGCTGGTACCTGCAAGAAGCATCAACGGGAAGAACGTCCTCTCGGAAAATGGGTGTACCGCATCAAGACCAACGCGGACGGCTCCATCGAACGATTCAAAGCTCGATGGGTCGTACGAGGCTTCGATCAACGATACGGAACCGACTACACGGAAACTTTTGCCCCAGTCTCCCGTCACACCTCCCTGCGCATCCTACTCGCCGTCGCGGCCACGGAGAAACTACCACTGCGTCAAATCGACGTCGCAAACGCTTTCTTGTACGCACCTGTGGACGCCGAGATCTTCGTCGAGCAACCCCACGGATTCATCGACGACCCTACGAAAGTATGCCAGCTGATAAAATCCCTCTACCGGATCAAACAAGCTCCGCGGCTGTGGCAGCAGCATCTTCACGGCCGCCTCGTCAGAATCGGCTTCCTACAGCTGCCGCACGACCAAGGCATGTATCGACTTCAGAAGGAAAAAGCCTTTATCCTTCTCATCGTCTACGTCGACGACCTGCTCTACATCGGCTCCTCTACCGACATCGCCATCTGGTTCGAAGGGGAGCTGAGAAGTGACCTGACACTCACAGTGTCAGACACAGTGACCCAATACCTTGGACTGATGTCGTCGAAGACAACTCGGCATTTTACCTACACGCTGGAATATACGCAGGCGTTGTCGCGAAGAAATTCGGGCTAACGCC